TTATTGTTACGGAAAATATTGTTAAAAATTATTACTCTTAGTTTGTTAGTTTGAGAGGAGACGTGGCACTTGTAACGTTGCCACCCAGTACTAAATCAATAGAAGGCTCATCGGCAACCTTTCACGATACACTTCTCACCGCTAATTTATTGAAGTGTCTTGACAAAATATAGCAGATCACTGACGAGGGCTCCCGAAAGCTCCCGCAATTCATCAAATCAGCACTGGCAGAGCACGTGCTGCCGACAAACATCCGATGAGAAAATGTCCAGACTCTTTCCAATTTTTACCAATAAAGAGTGCCCCGTCAAAATGCTAACCGCAATACTGAAATCCCTACTGCTCAATGCCGGCGAAACTCACGTTATTGCATCGTTCGTTTTCGATCACAAGGCTCTTATAGTTGCAAAAGTTCGCTCACCATCCCAAATCAAGTACCCCCTACTTCTAGTTTCTTTAATGTTTTTCAAATGTCTGAAGGGTGGAGGCACCGATGGAAGCATTGTCGTAATCCATAAAGGGAAAGTTTTGAATGTTTTCCTGAGCAAATCCGAAAGTACAATCTCTCTTGTCTCTTTTACAATACTTTACACAATATTTTCATAAAAGAATAAGAAAGAAAGGATTTTCTTAATTTCAATATCTACGTATAAGGTTAAACAAAGAAGAAGGGAGTACTTCGACAATAATTTTTAAGACGTCCCATTATAGAAGTCTCAAAAAATTTGAAATAAACATTATTGTTCAAAATTAACTTACACGCATTAAATAAACAATTTTTTTAAAAAATTAAAGCAAACAAATTAGAATTTCTTTAAAAAAAGATTTTACGAAATTTTCAAAAGGAGGCATAACGTAAATTCACGCTCTCCATATAAACATTTTAAATGATGTGGGTGAAAAAAAATCAATCCTATCGCATACATTGCCCTAAAATATGCAAAAAACTAAAATAAATCATGTAAATCAGGTACTTTTATAAATGGAAACCCCAATAACCATACTTCAAGGATAATGTTATCGTACAAAAATAACAAAAAGAATGAACACAAAGCCAGAGAGAGCATGTAACAAATGCAAGGAGAATAAATATTTTCTGCACGTGCTTGTATTATTAGCATAAAACCACAAAATGAAATTTTTTTTCTCATTGTATTAATTTCGAAAATATTCATTCATTCATATTTTATCCTATTTTTATACATTTTATAAATATATTTAAGCACATTTGCATATACAAATAATATTATATGTATGTGTATGATAATATCTCCTTATTTTATAAAAAGGACTTGATGATAAAAGCCTATTAAGGTTTAATCACGCATCCTTTTTCTTTTTGTGTAATATGCTTAGGTTTTTAATTTGCACGTATGTTTTTTTCTACACTTTTTACTTAAATAAATATTAAAATTAAATATGCGAAAATTTTAAAGTTTTAACTTGAAAATCCCCTATACGTTCAAGTTATTTTGCAAAACATTTTATACTTATATGTATTAGCTCGCTTTTATATCCTGAAATTCAATTAGAATAAAAGGATTTTGTTTTATATATAAAATGTGACCGTGGCAGAAAACCATGACCATGATTTACGTTCTATATAAGAGTATACAGTACTCGAAACGTATAATATACTCAAAGTGTTTAGTACTGCCAATGCAATTACACCAGTTTTATATATTGTTGACAGAAATAGTTAAGCACATTTATTCTAGTAGATGGCTTTTCATATACGTATATTTAATTATGGAAAATTAATATCAAAACACAAAGATACACAAAGACGCTGGGACGCCTATTTGCCCCTCGAACGACAAAACGTTAATTGCAGGTAAAGTTTTTTAAATCCACAAAAAATTGGGGTAACTAATTCGATTTCATTAATTTTTTTTTAATTTCCAGTACTTATAACAAAGGATTGAAATAGTAAGGGGATTACTTAAATAGTAAAACTCCAATATTCACACAGAAAGGCGAATTTTCAATAAAAACAAAATTTACATAAATGATTAGAAAAGGGTTTGACTCATTCATTAATTTAACAACAAAACCGTACAAATACCGTACATTTTTGTAAAAAAAAAAAAAAAAAACATTTTTTATTTCTGTTCTGTCAATTTCAAACAGTTTTCCAGCAATTTTACTAATGAATAATCACAAAATTTGGGTATATATACGTATATGTACATTATGTTGTACAAATATTATGTTATGTAAACTTTCACTGCATCAAATAAAAAAAAAGCGACATCTATCCGAAATCACAATAAAAAGTAGGAAATGTAGCAGTGTTAACAAAAATAATTACAAACAGAAAATTTTACCATTTTTTGACAAGAATAATAAATTTTCTCCATTCAATTTTAAACAAAAAACTAAAAAAAAAAAACAATTTGCAAAAAAAAAAAATTTGTAATTTGGCATCGACAGTTTTTTGGGGTTTAATTTTTTATTTTATTTTTTGTTTCAATCATTGTTGATTACTTTTTAACAAAACTTTTAACTCGCAGGTAAGCAAAGCACCACAATGAAAGCCCAAAACTATCTGTGAATAGTTTCAAAACTATTAACATTTTTTGTTATTTTATTAAATAAGAGTGCTCCACTAGAGGTATTTCTGCAGCTGTAGTATGTATCAATTCAAATCTTCGGATAAAGTTTGAAATGATTCGGGTGTGTTTAAGTGGTGACGTCTAATGATTTCCCATTTTGAAGTAATTTTCCGGTTCTCCATTTTGAAAATCAGCCAAAACATAATAATAAGTTTTTGGAGATATTTCAAGGTTAGAACAAGTTTTGGAATAGATTCCAAATCGGTTAGAATTGCAATGCATTCTGATCTCTGGCGAATTTTAATTATTCTAGAGGCCGAAGAATAAATGTCAGACAATGAATTTCTTAAAGGTTTCCTTTTTAAAAAAACATCCTATATTTCAATATATTTTTCATATAGAGTTTAAGATATTATGAGTGTAAATACTTGTAAATAAACTATATTTCAATATTATTAAATCAACAATGATTAATGATAGAAATCTCAAAATTCATATATGCTCAATAATATGTATGTAAAATTCATGTATGTGGAATTTCATCATAAAAACCACCTACGAAAAAAACAGAAACTAAAAGAAACAGAAACATCAAAATGGGGTGGCAAAGGTCTTTTATTTTTTACCATAGGTGGTGTTTTTTTTGCCTTGTGTATATACCTACTTAGAAAGTTGGTAAAAAGTAGAATTTTGATATCAAATAAAAAAAAAAAGAGGAAAAAATTGAATGATAATGAAAGCTTAAAATATTTTTTTTATATATGAAATACAAATTACATACATATACATGGAATAATACAATATTACCCTAATGAACTTGAGGTATGCTAACACTATCCAAGTATATACATTTCTTTAAGAATTCGAAAAAAATTATATATAGAAAAAGGAGAAAATTATTCAGATAACTCATAATTATTCTTATATCTATAAATGTTAAAAAAATATATTTATTTATTTATGAAATATAGTAAAGTAGATCAGAATCACCAAGAGTTAGAGATATCATTCTATTTATAAGCTATGATTCTGGTCCCTGTATTTAGAGAACACAAAGCGTAGAGAAAACAGTTTTGTCATTGTACGATTATTTATTATAGACTATGCAAACTGACACCAAGTTAAGAACACTTGATGTTAATTTGCATAGAGTCTTCAAAATGTCTGACACCAAGTTAAGAATATTGAAAAACTGTATATTTTTTGCCTATATCAATTCTTGTGCCTCCGATTATTAATGACATTTCTAATTTATTTACATTCTCTTCCACAGATGATTAATGACTCGGTCAAAGTCTTCAAAAAATTGTCAAAATGTAAAGCTGCACCCGGATTTTCTTTGCCCTTTAGAGATCACATTCTGGTTTAAAAATCAATTAATTATCGAAATATGTACTAAAAAAAATTTCATGAAATGAAATACATATCTTATATTCAGTAGGCTTGATGATTAAAAGAAGTAAGAATATGCCAACATAATTGATTTTGGGATAATCAATAAAAAAAAAATTTGTCATAATTCTAATTTTACTAGATTACAAAAATATTTTATAATCATCAAAATTTCAGGGAATGAGGCAACCCATCATTACCAATACAATAGAAAACATAATGAAACCGGCATATTATAAATCTAAAATAAAATACCAATAATAACAATAAAGAAAACTGAAAAAGAAAAACCAACATTGGTTTAAAATAGAGAACAAAACAAAAAAAAAACTTATATAACATAAATTATAACACATTTTTTATATTTAATATTTCCAAAAATTTTCTAAAAATTGACAAATTATTATTTTTAATACTCATAATTATTATTGTTTTGTTATTTATTACATCATACACATACTAATGCCGAAAAAAGAAAACAATACTTGTATATCTATGCCTCTCTTCTATTATATTATTACCTATCTATATCTTCTATAGAATATTTTACATAAAATGTATATATATAGACGCATCTACTTAATATTGTAAATATAGAAAGACCTTAAATCAAAAAATAAAAATCCAATAAATCTTATGTATTATACATGATTTAGTTATTTAGTAAAAACAAGAAGAAAGAATGAAATAATGAAAAAAAACCGAAAAAAATCAAATAAGGAAAAAAATGAAAAAAAAAAATTCAAAAAGGATAATAGGCAGGCAGGCAGGCAGGCAGGCATACTATATATTGTGATATAACATGCAATATAAATTTTCTACTTTAGATCAAACTGAAAAACACAAAAAATAAGCAAAAAGAACAAGAATTAGATTTAATAATAATGAAGAAGAAATCATCATTAACCATATCACTAACACAACGACAAATGGGTCGTCAACCTTTTTCAAGAGCAGAATATAAATAATAATGAAAAAAAAAAGCAAAATTTATTATCAATGATATTTTTTGTTATATTTTGTTTTTGCTTTTATTTCTTCTTCAACTCTTACCTTTTATTATCCTTAATTCATTTTTCTCCAATAATATTCGAATTTCTATTTTTTTTTTGTTCTACTCTTTTTCAAATTATCCTTATTAACACTTATAATTTTTATCATAGAAATTCCTTTTGTATAACAATATATTTATTTATGTTGTATTGCTTATATAATAATATGCAAATACAATATAATCGAATTATAATTATATGTACATATGTATGTATGTATCTACAAATATGTGCTATGTACCACAATATATTTTCGAAGATTAAGCATTAACAATAATAAAAACAGAGAAAAGTAAAACCAAAAAAAAAAAAAAACAAAAAAAAAATATTATCTTAACTTTCGTCCTTTTTCTTCTCAATTGAGAAAAATCTTTTCACTGTTATATTTCTATGCATGTATATACATATGTACATGTATGCAATATATAATTTGTAAAATAGACCTTAGTATAAAAGGATATTTTCACAGAAATTTTTTTTTTTATTGTTATTCTTATTATTATTTTTTATTTTCAATTACACAATATTATAATGTAATTTTTTACATACAATTTAAATATACGAAAATAATTAATTAAAAAATTATTAAAAATTTTATTTTAGAGTACAAAATTCAAATTATTTCGAAAATTTATTTAAATTTTATTTATTATTATTAATGTTAATAATATTAAAATTATTTTTATATTAAATTTTATTAAAAAAAAAAATTGCAATTATTTTATATTTTATGATTATTTACTTTTTTTTTTTTAAATTAATTTTAAATGATTATTACACTTGAACACTTATTTTATAAGAGAAAGAAATTTTAACACGTCCATACCAATCGAAAGCTTATCTCCAACTGAATTGAACTTGAATAAAAATTTTACATTGTGTTTTTTTTTTTTTTGTATATCTACTCTCAAGGTAACAAATTTTTACGAAGAGTTCATAAAAATAAAATTTATGTAATTTTTTTTTTTCATGTTATTTTTATGGTTTAAAATGAGAGCTTTTTTTATGTTTTTGTCAAAAAAAAAAAAAAATGTGAGTTGAAATGAGAAAATTTTATATTTTAAAGAATTTTTGTTTTTGTATGTACTGATGTATGACATATTGTATTGTATTATTTAATAAGGAAAAATTGAAAATGTAAAAATTTCTGTGAGAGAAATAGAGAATAATACCGGTTGATTTTTGTTTCTGTCTTTTTAGCTTTTAAGGAGCTGAGAAAGAAAAAAGCTTTTACAAAAAATTATGTTGTACAATTGAGTTATTATAATTGTTGTGGGAGAAATGAGAGAGAATGAGAATAAGATGGTTTTTTTAGTTTACTATTTACATACATATTAATGAAACTATTTTGTAACAAAGAGGATATTTGGAAATATTGGAAGGATTCTGGAGGCCGGCTTGTCTTGCTCTTATGGCTGCTATGGAGGCGTTGTTTGGACAGCCGCAGTTGCTTATCTAAATTGTGTGAGAAGCTCAGCTAGTAAATTACTGATTTCAATTCTAAGGGTAGTCATTTTGGACTCCGGTCTCCCACAGTATAACTTCAATGGTGGATACGAAGTAATATTTCCTGCTCGACACCTGTGGAGACAGGGTAATTGGTTTTTGAAATTGGTTCTGGTGCAAAATCGCGAGTCTGGATCTTTGTTGCTCTTTGTTTTAAGCTGATATACATCCAATAGAAATTTGCCTGATATGAACTTAGATTAGAGATATAAAAATAAGACCATCGTCAGGAGGCGCAGATTATTTTGATTTATACAGATATCCTTCCATGTCCTACAAATATCTTTGGGTGCTTACTTGGGACGGAGGTAGTATTGTCGGATATAGTGTAAGCTGAAGTAGAATCAGTCGGATAATGCAATAAGACATTGCTGGCTGCGGTGGTCGGATTGAGGAATTCCCTTGCCAATATCTGTCCTCGGTAATGTACAATCGACAATTTTCTGGATCATGACCAATTAAACACGTACTTTGAAAGAAAACAGAATGTAAATCTTGTCTATCCTTAAATTATTTAATTATTCCTTTTGCTTGAGCCAATTTCGTTACGGTTTTTGATATTTTTTTTTTGCCATTCTTCTTCTAGCGATTGTATCATACCTTATATATTCTTACTTTTTCTAAATTAATTTCAATTGAAATAGTAAATGCAGGTTTAATAATAGTGGAAATTTCTATTAAATTTTAAAGTTTAAAATTCAGAATCTTTTCTATGATTAACATGAAATTGCCTTTCGTAACTTTTTTCAAGTCTCTTCAATTATTGAAATAATTATTAAAGTGAACCCTTTTTTTCAATAATTTTCTTACGGTATATAAAAACACCATATTTTGTATGTATTTAAGTACCATTGCTATACACAAAGCATATACACATTCAATATTCATGCGATATTTAATAGCGCTAGGAGCTAGCATAAAAATTTCAAGAGCATAAAAAGCATTACACATTTTACAATTGGTATCACTGCTTTGTCTACTATTAAACTAATATTTTAGAGAGTTCTTATTGGAAAAAGTGTTGCGTGTTAAAATAATATAAAACTTGCAATATGAAATAAAAGAAGAGTAGCTCTATATGAGTTAAAAGTTTTCAAATTGCATGTGTAAATAAAAAAAAAGAAAAAATCAAATTTCCTGTCATTTTCTTTGAATCAAATTTTTTTTTTTGGTTTTTTGTTGTTGTTCGTTTATTTTTTATGAATGAACATGCGTATCACTATTTGTTTACAATATTATTTAATTCCCTTTAAGTTCATTTAACTAACAGAAGTTTGTGGAAGACAAAATATTCAAAAAATATATTGACATACATACACACACACATACACAATTATAATAATAGATGAACGCACACATTTATGCACAAACATTAAACGTAATACAATTCTTTTTGTGTATACTGTGACTGATTGTTGTGGGCTGTAGGCTCGAATGTTCGATAGTGAAAGAATATATGAATTTTGTGGCATTTTCAGTTAAATTACACGTTATTTTGCCGTTTTCTTTTATACCATTTCGATTTTGGGATTTTCTGTTATCGTTTATTTGATATTTTTTTTGAATTTGTTTCTTTCTGGCTTTTTACTGTTATATTGAATTTATATAGTGCTTTAAAGTGTAAATGCAGTTACAAGAGAGAAAATTGTTCTCAGATTTTCTAAAAATTAGTTATGGTTTTGGGGTGGAAGGAATGATTAAAATTGTAAATCAATTTTTTTTAAACAATATTTTTCTTTTCATGTTTTTGTTTTGGTTTTTTGGAAAATGTGTGGAAAAACAATCAAAAATGGAAAGGGAATGAATTAGGGAGAAAAATGGAAAACAAATTAAATTATGGTTTAGAAAATTCAATATTTGAAATAAGGAATTTATCGAAAGAGTGCAGTCAGGAGGGAGGGGGTGGGGAAGAGTGAAATATTTTTAATAAATAAAGAGTCTGAACCAATTGAAGGCAAATTATTATAGGTATGTTCTAATTAAGAGGAAAATTTTTATTCATTGAAAGTTTACATTCTCTGGAAAGTGTTGGGTGAAGATGTAAATTTTTATTAAAATTGACTGTTGCCAAGATGGCTCCTTGGCACCAGAGATCTGAAGTCTCTTCACCGACGAAATATTGGAGCTATAATAGGGGCCATACCAAAACATTATTTTATTGGCGAACATGACAAAGGAACAGGCTGGTTCTTTAAAATTTTGCGGATCCAGCGGCATCACAACGGGCCTATTTAGCCTATGTTTATCTTAGGGTAGCATCCAAATCTATGAACCTAATCTATGTGATCTATGGGTATCAACCTCATCTATGTGAAGATAAACAATATTTATTAAAATTTTGTTGCGTTATTAGTAGCCAAATTTTAATATTGTTTTAGGTGACTTTGATCAGTATTAAAAATCCAAATTACATCATGAAAAACATGACATTTTAAAACATTAAAAAAAAAAAATACCGGAAATATTTATGATAGTTAGAAGGAATAATGAAAAACAAATGACTGTTAATAAATATTTAAGATAATTAAAAGTTTAGTAAGCGCAATTAGCTGTTTGTTTAAAAGATTTTAGAATTAATAGAATGACTTTACATTTTAACCACATCTTTTAAAATTTCAGTAAGTAATAGCAATTAATTTTTGGTTATAATCGAAATTTGGTAATTATGTTGTTTTAAGAAAGATTTATTGCTTTTTTTTTCGTATCAAAGAAGATTTTAAAACACAAAATTTTGTGATTAGCCGAGATAAGTAACCTGTAGAAATTTAAGTCAATGGTATGTTAGCACAAGTGTATGATATTTACTATTGTACAAAATTATAGCCACTAATATTAAAGACACATTAGAATCATAACAAAAATATTGATGATTTTATTTATTTAGCATTAGCTTATCATTGTTGGTAACAGACGAAATCCAAGAACGAGGTCTATGATAGTATAAGCATTTGGATTTTTATTGCATTCATAATCCCTTATTCATATGGAGTGTTTGCCCCTCTTTCTCTATCTCGAATTGTGATTTTGTTTTATGAAGGGTTCTGGAAAATGAAGTGTAAAGCTTTCAATATATTGACTAGCACAACACAATGGCGATAGTAAAAGTTTTAAAAACTTGAAGTATAGCTCCAATATTTTGGAATAATTGTTCTACATTACCGCAATTCAAAAAATTAGGAATTATATACTTAATTTTTGAGGTTTTTTTGTTCTTTTGGTAAATGTTCTTCCGGCTAATTCCACTTGATTTTAGTCGATTCTCTCATCATAATAATCAATTTTCTGTTATACAGTAAAAAAAAAAGAGTATTAATTACGATCTCATATAAAATGAATGATTATAATTTTTTTATTTAAAAAAATTTAAAGAAAACTAACAAAAAAAAACAGGAAATTTTGTTATATAAATTTGATTAAAATCACAATCGCATCTTCATCTTTCTTATTTATCTATAAAGAAATAATTTCTACATTAATATTTTAATATTATTGTGACCGCCTAGGTAGAAAACGCTTTTAGGAACTTTTTTTTCAATGAAAGCGCAAATAAACGGAAGTCATGCAAGTTTTTTACTATAATATTAAGCAAATCGCGTTAAACAAGTTTTTATAGTTAACGTAAATTTCTACAATAAATTATTCGAAATAACCTATGTGATTTACAAGAAAAAAAAACTTGTTCCTATAAAAGAATATTGAAAATCTTCTTCGTACTTTATGCATCACAAGTACAACAATAAAATGAAGAAGTTTAGAGTCTCCATAAATATTTTGTTAATATTGTTGAAACTGTTCTATGGTATTTCT